CCGAGTATTGGACGAAGGTGGAGAACTGGCTGAAATAGTCGAGGGGCGCATTGCCAGCATCTTCTTCGTCTTCTCTCAGGCTGAAAATCATGTGAAGGAGATGGTTGCCGAACGAACTGTTTTGCACAGTAAGTTTGGATACTTGCCTCAAGAGGTCGTACCTTTCTGATTCCAAATACTTAGGGGTGCTGAAGGAATTGAAGCGCATGACTCCTGCTCATCAAATAACGATGTTGAAGTTCATCAAGAACTTGTCCATGCTGTCAACTACACTTGACTCTCTGCAGAACTCGAACGCCATTGACGTGCTGACTGACCTCTTGCGGTCAACCATCAAACGGCCACACTTCCGAGAAGTCTCCAACCAGATCCTGAACACAATCTACAATATGTGTCGTCTAAATAAGTCCCGGCAAGAGGACGCTGCATTGAACGGTATCGTGCCGCTGCTCCAAAAGATTGTTAAGACTGAACGACCCTTAAAGGAATTCGCTTTACCAATCCTCTGCGACATGGCGCATTCCGGAAAAGTGGGCCGTCGTGAGCTATGGCGCAATAGAGGATTGCCTTTCTATATATCCCTGCTTTCCGACCCTTACTGGCAGGTAACTGCCTTGGATGCCATCTTTACCTGGTAAGCTCATTGCGCCTTTCGGCAGACGTGGCTTGTACTAATTTTCGTAGGTTACAGGAAGAAACGGCGAAGGTTGAGGAGCACTTGCTCAGTTACCACCCTGATCAGCCATCATTCACAGAATCCATTATCAGATGCTTAACAGTCTCGAAGGCTAATGCTTTTGAGAATCTCCTCGAACCCCTTCAAAAGCTCCTTAGGCTGAGCCCTCCCATCGCATTGACATTCGCCCGGGAAGACATGTTTGTCCGGATCAGGCAAAAATTGCACCACAACAAAGCTGCTGTTCGCTTGAACCTTCTGCGAATCATATCCAGTATCTGTGAGGCCAGCGAAGACCAAGGTGGTCTTCTGGCAGAGTATGGCCTTCTTGAAGCAATCAGAGAACTGGAGCATGATCCGGCCATCCTTGTTCGGGACATGGCTGGAAAACTCATTCAGGCTAATGAGAGAAGCGAATCCTATGGATTAGGGAAGCGCAGGCCAGGTGTGAGGAGAGGAAGTGTAGCTACCACGCCGCCTGGTCTTTTGACAAACCAGTCTGCTCCGAGTACTCCTTCGGTGACTCGCTCGAATCAGTCGAAAAGCTACTTCGATGGGCGGGAAGTCCAAAGACACCCGCGCAATGCTCTCAGTGGGTCAGCGCTGGCGCTGCGGCCTGCTAGTAGAGATGGTGCAAGCCCCGCTCTTGCCGTGGGTGCAAGCAAGGGCTCCAATGCCTCAAGCGCTTCCAGAAGTCGGCTACCGCGTGGTATGTCTAGCAATAGATTATCCCACGTCGAATTTCTACCTGAAGAAGACAGCAGGTCGCAGAGCTCACTGTCACGTCGACCCTCCATCCTCCCGCGACGCCGGCGTCAAACACATGCTGATGGTGAATGGTGACTTTGGCATATTCTGCACTCGCTTTCCCTTCTTCTACTTCTGTCCCCTTTGCTTCGACACCGCCTGGCATTTTAGCTCTCAATTGGGAGCCTGTAGATTTCCACAGCCTTTCATCCAAATGCATTGCATCATATGGGCGTCCCTGAGAATTCTTTGTGTTCTACCTGGTCTGCAAAGAGCTAACACTGAGTTATCATTGTCTTCCTTGGCGCTTTTCATGTATACTAATTTGAAGGGGGTTATTCGTCTGACTTTTGAATAATATAAAAATGGCATTTCTCTCCTTTGATGTCGGTATATCTGAGTTACCAATGACATGATGCTTCAATTCGGGTGGTTGGCTTGCGGCAATGTTGTACCGAGTGCCTTATGATGTGCAGGGGGCATTTCAGTACAAGATCGCCAGGCCACTACGAATGTCGTATGAGATCTTGAGGAAGCTATATTGTTCTCTGAAATTCGTTGGACTAAGAAAGACCTAAGAATAGCCTTTTGACCCTCCATCTTCCATATCTGCAATTCTAGGTCACGTGCTACTTGCTTCGGGCCGACAACGGGCAAAAAAAAATTCCCGAATCGCGGCGACAACCGCCACTTAAGATTTCCCTGGCAGAATTTGTATTCTATACAATGGAATGAGTGTGTACAGACGGAGTGCATTTTTAAGATTCGAGGTTACGAGCGATCTGTGGTCGTCCAGTTCACGGTGCTGATTGCGTTCGGTATGAGAGCGGCGCTCCGCACCTCGTTGCGGGCATCGGATTTTGATCCTGCGGCAGTGTACAGATACAATCCGAATGGGTTCTTCTTGAGCCAATTTTCGAAGTGCAACCATTCGTCTCTGTCTTCTCTCCGGTCTCCGGACTTCATTCAAAGACCATTCAGAGGGATATTTTGGCATCATTCATACGCACGATCGTCATTCCGCACATGTCCGTCTTCGCGGTCCCATTCTACAAAAACACCTACCTTGCCGGAGGACGTCCAGTCTCGGGACTATGAATCACCTCATTCAGGTTCACAGCGGTCGCGGAGGAGAATCTTAAAGTATGCAATCGTCACTGGTATCGTCGTCGCTGCAGCGGTGACCTTATCAGACGATGCACGGCATCTATATCGCGCGGCGCAGCGCACAGGCAGAGTTGTGGGGACTTTGGCTGTCTGTATCAACGAGTAAGAGCATGACTTCTTGCATCCCAGACTGTTGGCCTGTCACTTACATGGACTCTTCTAGTTACCGAGTCACCCTTAAGCAAGAGACTCCTACAGAAGAGGAACGACAAGAGTCTATCCGAGCATGTCACAAGCGTTGCGCAGAACGAACCCTACGTGTTCTCGAGAAGAATGGGTCCATATTTATAAAGTTGGGCCAGCATCTCAGTAGCATGGGCTATCTCCTTCCGTTGGAATGGACGACCACCTTCATTCCCCTTCAAGACAAATGTCCCGTCTCGTCTATCGAATCCGTCGAGGAAATGTTCGTCACCGACACAGGCCATCGCATCGATGAATTGTTCTCGAGTTTCGAGCCATTGCCCATTGGCGCCGCATCTCTTGCACAGGTCCACATTGGCACGCTGAAAGAGACCGGTCAAAAAGTTGCTGTTAAAGTGCAGCATCCTGCATTGGCCGAATGGGTGCCCCTGGACTTGGCATTGACACGGTTTACTTTCTCGATGCTGAAACGATTCTTCCCGGAATATGATCTGGAGTGGCTCTCAAACGAAATGGATTTTTCGCTACCTCAGGAATTGGATTTCCGCATGGAGGCAGAGAATGCCAGGAGGGCTAGTGAGTACTTCAAAAAGCACTCGGATGCTCCGATAGTCATTCCGGAAGGTTCGTCCTCGATTATAGCGGTAAAACAGAAGTCCAGTAGCTTTGCTAACCTCTAATCAGTCATGTGGGCTCAGAAACGAATTCTGGTTATGGAGTTCCTCTCTGGCCGTCGTCCGGATGATCTTGAATATTTGGACTCCAAACATATTGACCGCGACGAGGTCTCCGCTGCGTTCGCGCATATCTTCAACGAGATGATCTTCGGAGACAATGCCCCGTTGCACTGCGATCCCCACGGCGGCAATATTGCCATTCGCGAGAACCCCAACCGACGCCGGCACAACTTCGATATCATCCTCTACGACCACGGCCTGTACCGCGATATTCCACGCGACCTACGTCGTAACTACGCCAAGCTCTGGCTGGCGGTCATCGAGGCGGATGAAGGCCGCATGCGCGAGTATGCGCGCAAGGTCGCAGGTATTACGGACGAGCAATTCCCCCTGTTCGCGAGCGCAATCACCGGACGAGATTACACTGTGCTAGCCAAGAAGGATGTCGCTTCTCCGCGCACGGCTGCCGAAAAGGAGAACATCTCCGGTGCGCTCGGGGAGGGCATGCTGCAACAGCTTGTTGAGTTGCTGGGCCAGGTACCCAGGATCATCCTCTTGATTCTGAAGACAAACGATCTGAGTAAGTTATGCTTCGCTCGCAGTGCCTCATTTCCATCATTCTGTTTTCTTCTTGCAATCCCGGCTAACATTGCCTGCTCTCCACCTTTAGCCCGCAGTCTGGACGAAAATCTACATACCCGACAGGGTCCCGTACGCACATTCCTTATCCTGGCCCGCTACGCCACTCGTACCGTCTTCGAAGAGAAGATGGAGAACATTAACGAGACCGGCGGCATTCTCCACCCGCTCAACTTCTTGCGGTTCCTCTGTGCCTGGACGGGCTATCTCCGGGTTGAACTGAAACTGTCCGTCTACGAGACTCTGCTGTCTCTGAAAAGTCGGCTCGGGTTGATCGGATAGAAGAGCGGCTAGGTCTTCTTCATACCGTTCGGATTTCTCCAGTCCGACGTGCTTGTAACCCTGTACACTTTTCTTCACCCTTAATTATCTAGACGGGACGGATCGGATGGGTCTGGTCTGTTTGTGCATCATCAGCGACGGCGTTTTTCCCTTTTTCCCTTTTCTGTTTTCTCCACATGTATAAAGATTTGTACAAAGATATTTTTGTAAGTCTAGACGTCTTTCATTTCTTAGATAGATCGAATCTGTTTACTCCCGTCTGATACCTCATAGACTAATGCGATACCTTGCTTACAGAACGGCTCCAGGGTATGCCGAGGACAAGTCTACTAACAGCCACGGAAAGTATGTGATAGGGCCCTTGAAATGAAATCATATCACACCGAGATGCACATTCTTATTGATGAACCTATGACTGAACGAGATTCATGATCGTGAAGCATGTTTAAGGCAGAAAAGTAAGAGGCATTGGGGGAGAAATGAGAAAAGAAAAATATACATAGACAAAATTCAACCCGTCAGTTGAATTCAATGGAGCAACGCATGCTTTAATGATCCAAGTAATCTGCAGTCTCGGTACGCCAGTCAATCGAACAAATAAACCCTAACAGATCTCATCTGGTATCGCCATAATAGTGTTGAATATATTGTTACTTTTCTCAAGCAGATCACAGACTCGCGGCGCTACCCTCGGTCTTTTCCACATTGGGAATGGAAGCCCCAGTACCAGAAAGGTCAGTCTTAGCGGCCTTGGGGTTCTTGGTGTAGTAGTCGTTGATGGCGGACTTAATGGCATCTTCAGCAAGCATGGAGCAATGTAACTTGACGGGAGGCAGGCAGAGTTCCTTGGCAATGTCGGTGTTCCGGATCTTAGAGGCCTCGTCAAGCGTCATTCCTCGCACCAACTCGGTCAGGTAGCTAGAGCTGGCGATCGCGCTACCACAACCGAAAGTCTTGAACTTGACGTCGGTGATCTTGCTGGTATCCTTGTCGACCCGGATCTGGAGCTTCATCACGTCACCGCAAGCAGGTGCACCGACCAGACCGAGACCGACGTCAGGGGCGTCCTTGGGTAGTGAGCCAACTAAAAATATGTCAGTTCCTGCAGAAGCATGTACATGGTTGAAACAAATGCTTAAAGAGATGCTGAAATTTGAGATCCTCCTCGAGCGCATAGGAGACAGATGGACGTTGATTGGCCATAACTGTCTTCTCGTAAGAGCGTTATATAGTGATAGATTCTTTGGAAAAGTCGATGTCCGAAACCAATCAGGGAGCCCTCCCAGGTGTAGAACACCGCTTATAGAATCTCCCTGTTGTAGGATCCGTCTTCATTTGATTGGAGTTCGCTTCGCGGTCTTGACAGCAGTCTTCTTGAAACGAGAAGGACTACAGCTGACGATTCGTCTGTCTCCCACCGACGCTTCGAGGGAAAAGAGGAAAAGAAAGCAGCATATGAAGAAGGGCAAACATACCGTTGCGTGGGTTGTTGTAATGATCTAGCAGTGCAAAGAAGGTCAGCATTTGACTGGCCCGGACGAAGCATCCCAATTTCATCGATCTACTTATCTTTCTCGTGATAACTTCTCCTCTGAGGAGCAGGAGATGCCCTGTTGATGGGTTGAGCCTGGATGAGGGAAATGGCCGGCGTAATGCGAGGCGACACGACAGTGCCGACTGAGCGAGGGGCGACAGTAGCCAAACGGCGGAACATGATTGATAGATGTGTGTTTGATTTATGTATAGCTAGCGATTAAAAGGTGATGCCCGGTTGGATTGATGATGAGGCAAAAAAAGATGTTGATAGAGTATGATGATGTACAAGAGGTTGTGATGTCGTTGAAAGATCGATTAATTATTCTTCGGGGTTTCGCCTGTGCTCTACATGCGCTAAACCCAATCCAGCAACACCGTCGCCTCCGCTTCGTCCGGCCTCGGAGATAATTACACTATGACGCTCGGCGGTGCTCGCCATCAATTGTTTTAACCAGAATAGGCATTAAAATGCCGACTCCAAGAGCTGATTAATTGGTATTGAACATCAAATCAGCAATGACTCCCTATTTACAGTGGTTCACTGATCCAAATTGGGGTACTGTTTTCTACGACGGTTTTTCTAAGGCGATTCCAGCACAGCAAAGAAGCTTAGAAGCAGAACTGATTGATTACCCCCACGATACCGTGGCTGGGAATCTGCAGCCAACAGGAGCCTGTACTTGTGGTACTGGTTAACGTAATTAATTGCTTATCTTCCCGCCCTCCATCTGATAAAGGCCCTCAGGGAAAACATTACGCCGGTATCCGCTGACCCTTCACATCACCAAGATCTGCCTTGAGACATAGAATGGAAGCGGTTAAGACGGATTGAAGTCATCTTACCATGACTCGAAAAGGAGGAACCGGGAAACCCTTGGGGAGGACAACTGGGGTAAGTACAAACTCATTGAATATCCTTCCAGCGGTGTCACAGCTCTGTCTCACAAGTGGCATTTTTCACCGATTGCCCTGAAGTAACAACATAGTAGTCTCTCAATGCTCCGATAGCTGCCTTTACCATGGCAATTATTTTATGCTCCTACTGCATCAGTTCCATCAACTCCGCTCGCCGCGAGGCACAATCGTCCCCAGTCACCGCAACTACAAGGGCCCAGAAGTTCTCCGTGGAAAACTCTGACCAATCATGGGTACAGCAGGCATTAGAAGAGAGCAGAGATGCAGAGCGGCAAAATCGGTCGAGGTAGTCTTTGCGTTGGATTTGTACAATAGCCGAAGCTTGATATTGAATCAAAAAGGAGTCCAAGAAAAATGCTCATGATTGTTGCGGCTTGGATTCACATAATGATGCACTAAAAATTATCTGCGGTAATCCCTCTACACAAGGCGTCAATTGTCAGGTTCATCTCTCGAAGTCCATGATCAGAATTTTCAGTGTATGTGAATAGTCATATCCAGTGTATTGTAATCTGGATCTACCATTTCATTTGAATGTTCATCATATCAAAGGAAAGTCGAGGATAACTTGGGGACTCTGCCCTCTTTGAAACGCAACATACACAGATTGATATCTGCAATGATGACCTTGTTCTGGTTTAAAATAACAGCTCATGATGATAATAAGTAAGTAACCGTACCTCTTCATCAAAGGCAGGCCTTGCATGAATTTTTCGCTGTTACCAGGCTTGTTGTTTTCTTTGAGGTGGAGGGAAAATTGCTCCAAATTTGAGAAAGCAATAATCAGTCGCTTATTTGATCACGTGATTTAGAGTGACATCATCTAGCGGTATGTACCTTTCAAAAGTAGAAAAACACTTTACCTCTTCTATAAATCATCTTGGTGTATCTGAGGACGATCGACTGAGTCTGCGTCGGAAGATTGCTCAATGCTAAGTATCATCTAGAAAAGAATCCGATAGCACAGGTTAGGCCATTTAGCTTGCTGACGGTATTTTCGAGGGGTTGAGAACGTCGGTATGGTTTGAGTAATAATGTATGTTTGTATGTACAAAGATGCAGATCATGCAACGGAGCCGTCAAGGGTGAAAAAGACAACAATGTGACAACAAAGACCGCTTTATAAGATACATATCCTGCAGAGCGTGACGACCATATATTAGTGAGTCCATAAGTCCCACAAATGTCATAGCGATGACCATTGCTGTCAGACCTTCTGCTGGTGAGCGGAGCTTAAGACAGCCGAGTGGTCGCCCACTGCTCCAGAGCACCCAATATAGTATGGTCAAAGCTGGAGATGGATCAGTACATATTCAGCTTAACTGGCCATTTCGTGAGAATAGAAAGCCCGTGGGTCATCTCTAGAGGGGTTAGGATTGCATTGTTCAACCGAAACAGGAAAAGAACAAGACACGTCTAGTATGCACCATTCGCTGCTTATTTACTCATCCTGCAGCAGCATGGCTCTTTCTCTAACATCTGCGATACGCAGCTTCGTTTCTCCCTCATGTTGCAAGTGACCAATTAGCTTACGGAGATACTCGTAAGTAAGCATTGTGGTCATGGCAGCCGGTACAGCCCGGAATAGGTTTACCCCGATGCCGGAGTAGAATGCACGCCAACCTTCCTCCCTCAGAATGGTCTGACATGTACGGATAATGCCCGTATACCGCGGGCGGTTGGGCATGCCATCCGATGAAGCCGCTCCTGGAGGTCTCCCGCGATCTTGTGGGTGATCTAACCCTCCACGAAATGTGATCCCTTCGGGAGAAGATGCTGGAGATGTCCTTTGCTGTGTCTGGAGTCTTGTTCGTAGCACTTCATGCGGGTAGGTTAAAGTGCTGGCACAAATTTTGCTTAAGAATGTCGCACAAGATATGCCAATCCAGTGGGAGCCACCGTTATCAGGATGTTCCCCTATGCCGTACCCCGTAAAGGCCATCTTCAAGTATTCGTATAGCGGGAATTGAATGGCGACGTGCGTTAATCCGAGTAACGCCGGAGTCAGTCCAGAATAGAATGACCTAATCCCTTCGGTCCTGTACATTTTGCGGGCTGCATCCCAAGTGCTTGAGTACTGCCATGGAGCCGTGTAGCCTTCACTGTTGGACTTGAGGCTTTGTGACATAAGCCGCGTTTTGATGACCCAGATGGGATTGGTGACTGTAGTAGAGCAAGCACCGGCTAATATTGATGCATAGCCTCTGGAAAGCCACCAGCTATCTATTGATGTGACACGGATTATTAGTCCTGATACTCTACCTTAGAGAAAGGAACACACATACCGGTGGTTTCGTAGAAGTATTCTCGAGATCGGTCATAGACAGCCAAATATACGGCCCAGGTAGGCAGATATCCCAAGAGCATGGGACCCAATCCTTGATATAGACCCCGAATTCCATCTTGCCGCCATATGATCCGCCCAGTACCTAGCAAACCACGGTAGAGGGTTTTCGCCTCAACGACTCCGCCGCCTCGTCGGAGAAATCCGCCTTGCGCCTGCAGCTTCGTCTTGATCACATCAAGGGGGCATGTGACAATTCCAGAGGCCACACCCGCACTGGCGCCGCAGAATGGCGCAATGTAGTAATCCGGTATCTTTGTGGACCATATCTGGAGATTTGTGACGAACTTGGGGCTGGACGGAGCTTCAGGTGGAAGTTGCACGTCGGATGACGCAAGGTTGTTCGAGTGCGATATCTGCTGCTCTTCAGAGCTGCTGGCGGCTCCTGAATTGCCGTGACCGTCGGAAAACATCGCTCCGGTCCGTTCCCCTAGCAGCTTTCTCTGTCCGTCTTTGCAATCAACGAGGGCTCCCGGAACCGAGCATGTCGGTGCTCGCTCCGGAACCCAGCAAACCCTATTCTGACCAGGTCTCGATGTAAATATTTATTCGCCAATTAGAGCCGTACGAGGAAGCGACACAGTCTGGCTTAGACGACTGAAGTAATAAGTGTAACTGAGCTGATATTGGCGAATGTGCTGATATGCCTGGAATTTTGCTTATTCGGAGGAGCAGGGGCGGGGCCGGTTAGAAGTGACACAGCTCCAGTGTAGGAGCAAAAATGTAATTCAACGGATGATGAACTCCATACCAAACCGGCAAGCGATACCGGGCCTAAATATGTGAAGAAGAGGAAGTCTGATCGATGGGAAGATTGGAATACAAGGCGAGAACCGGGCCGCGCGGATGATTGTGGCCAAGATCAATCAACGTACCTCTTTCGGCAGTCATGTGGAGTGGAGTAACTTAGCTACTGAATATATTCCGGTCCCAAGCGCCAGGGCCGCAGCCTAAGGCATTATAATCACATGACATATATCGGAATCCTCATGGCCATTTTTGATGCCTCAGGCTGCAAAATCGGATGTTTTTGGGAAGGTCATCCCAGCCGGACCTCCGTTTTGCACAATCTCCAACGTCGGGTCACTCTTTGCAGCTTGACTGACCTCTCGCGATCTCCCCTCCCGCACCACGCCCTCAATTGGATTCCCATCCACATCCACCTGGGATCAGTCACCATGTCCGCTCCTTCTCTCACCAACTACATTGTCAAGCGCCCATGGCTCAAGCGCTGGATGATGCCACTTGCTCAGTGGTACACCGACGCCGCCGGCTACAGGAAACTCGGATTGAGGTAGCCAACCCCCGCCTTCAACCTTCCCAGGATGAGCGGCCAGATGAGCATGTTATGCGACAGCGACATTATTGGACTTTACCGCTGCTATACGACGTCGCATTGTGCATGATCCCTCTCTGGTCGCTATCTGGGACACTTTTTACTCCTTACCTGTCTGTGCAAGCAGTCAAGCTGATTATTTTTCAGATTCGATGACCTGATTCCCGAGGAGAGTGACGTTGTTCAGACGGCCATTAAGCGTCTTCCTCCCAAGGAGGCCTACGACCGCGTCTTCCGTATCCGCAGAGCTTTCCAGGTGCGTCTCCATCTAGGTCGCTCCAGGACATCAACGCTAATTTGCCTCATCAACACAGTGCTCCGTTTCCCACACCCTCCTTCCCGCTCATGAGCAGACCAAGCCCGAGGAGGTGAGTAGATTTCGCATTTTCATACTTGCACCGGCGTCGTCGATTCCCCGCATAAGTCGTGGCCAATCCCGTAACGCGGATTTGTCAACTGGGTTGTATCGGGTTTATCACACTATTCCGGTCTCGAGATGCGTCCAGAAAGCACTTGTGGGTTATATAAAGAACCATCATAGATGCTGATTTTGCTCTCTAGGACGTCGAGTACCTGAGCCCCA